AATCTTCTCAATCCAATCCGCCTACGAGCGTCCTAGCAAACATTACAATAGCGAAGTCACAGTCCCCGATCACAGCATACTAGAGAATATAAAGACAACCATGATAAAAATAGACTATATCATTAATGGTAACTTCCTCCCCAGACATCAGATACGGAACTCAGACTACCCTTAATAGACCAAAACTGAACAATATGAATGCCTGAGGAGATACAAAAATACATCGATCCTTGGAAAAGAAAGAACTACAAAGTAAGCTAAGACCATCGAACAACTGAGGGAAACAACTAAACATTCGGCTCTTCTGTTGCTTGCCACTGCCTACGCACGTCAAGCTGCGAGAAATCCTTCGGTGGGTGCTCCAGGCTGAAACCTGTTCTGCCTCTACAGTCCTGACGTAACTCAGAGAAAAGGTGTGAGCGTCAGGGTAGCATGACGCAAGACACAAGACGCCCACAAAAAATAAACATCGAAACGGAAACCAAAAGGAATCGATACAATATAGAAATGATAAAAGGAAGTACACATAGAGAAATTGAACAAAAAATCAACATTGCATGACTAACAAATGAATAGTATACAAGCTTGTACATCACCAGAGGGTTAATTGATAGGTGATCCGAATATAGTTATATAAATAATGTAAGTAAATTTTAGAAAATTTAACAACTCGGCCGTAGTACGTCGAGCGAATAATCGAAAAAGGAAAATATAATATATAGTCTCGAATTATAATACATTAGAAATATTATCCCGATAATGTAGAAAAGGATAAACCGCTACATTTCACTAAGAAATATTTATGTATCACAAGAATCGAGTAGTTAACTGCATATCTCATCTAACCTCTCAAATAATAAACAAATATATATCATAGATAAGAATAGAATAGAGCCGAAACAAAGAAGATTAGACTGAAAACAAATAATAACTGAATATCACCTCACTCAGAAAAGCTGAAACAAGAACACTGGCTGAGACAGCCTCGGAAAACAATCAATAATCTCGATAACCACACACACATCGAGACCCCCCGAGGCCGACACAACGCGCAGAACTGGCGTGGCCTGGAAAATAACTACAATACACAACATAAACATCAATACGCAACATACCCACCCAGCTGACTAACACAAACTTTAACCCAGGCGGCCGGAATATAAGCTCAACCAATCACCCAACCGCTCACATGGACCAAGATTCTCATCCCAATTTTCGTAATCAGGTCAACGCTGACAACACGTGTTCTAGATCTAACTGTGTCATAGGGTCCTATAGGTTAAATCCTAATGATTCTCAATCACCAAATGAAACAATCGATGGCAACAAATCATGTTGCAATCATATCATAGCATCTCAGTTATAATCAAAATAAGAAATATACAATATACACTCTACATATATTTAGTACAATCTTTTTCTAAATAAATTTGCATTCTGTAATTATTTAACTACAATTATCTAAACTAATTCATTTCCAAAATAATTCTTTTAAAATTATTATCAATTATCAAATGATTCTTTGTCGAATTATTTCCTTTTAATTCATTATAAAACAAATTACACTACTTTTAACAATCCTCAATTCATTCAGATTCAAATATACTTCAGCAAACACCCAGCGTATACATATATCACAAGTAAATGTATATTATATATTAATACGCAAATAAGGAAGGAGCGGGAATCTTACCCTGCGAGAACCAGAGTGGGGTCTGATGACGGCACTATGAATGAGCGAGGGCGGAATGCACGCGTGTCGATCGGAGGTGAAGTTGACAACGCTTGGATCCTGGTTCAGGCAAACACACACGTGTTTAAGAGGGATTGACAGTAAGTTGACTGATATATCGGATATAATAGATAGAAAGAGAGAAGAGAAGGAAGGAAGAGGGGACGCCGGGTGGTGGGCTGGGGTTCGCCGGCGCGTGGGGCTGCTAAGGCGTTTCGCGGCGCGAGACACAGGCGACTCTACAGGCGGAGAGTCGGGCGGTCTCGCGCATCCAGCGAACAGGGCGCGATCTGCTGCTCGTCGTGGTCGGTGCTCGGTGGAGCTCGGCCGACGATCGGTGGTGCAGGCAGGGGCTGTGGCGAGGGGGGAAGCTGGGCCCGAGCTCGCGCGCTCGTAGCGGTCGGCGGAGAGTGGAGCAGCTCGGGTCGCCTGTGGTTGTGGAGGGAACGGCGGCTCAAGTCGGGCGGGGCGGGCGATCGGGACTGGACCGAAGAGGGAAAGAGTTGGGGACTCTTCAGGCGGCGTGCGGGTGTCCGCGCTGGACGCACCCCGGGCCTCCACCGGGGCCGGAGAGGGTGGAGCAGAGAGGGGAGTGGTGGCTCCGGTGGTCGACAGGACTCGACTCGCGAGGGGTGGCGAGGGAGGCTGCTAGCGGCAGGAGAAGGGCACGACGGAGCTGAAGAGGATGCGGGGTTGCGACGGGTTCGGTGCTTGA